ATCAAAAACAAAAATATAACTTTCACACTCTTGAAACCCTAAATTCAAAAACCCTATAACAAGTAAGATCAATTCAAATCAATTTCGATTTTAGAAGTGTATCTAATCATAAACTCAGGCTCTAACACCACTGATAGGTTTTAGACATCTAAGTTTCATGATACTATTTCAACTACTAAGAAAGAGAATGAAAATACATACCTCTTTTGATGCTAATGATATTCTTGTTTGAGACCTTTTTCTTGCCACCTTTTTTGGGTTAAAAGATCTAAAGTATAATCCATCTTTAGGTTCACTCCCAAGAATACTGAAGAGCAGGAAAAAAACTATAAGAGAGAATCAAATCCTAAAAATCCTAGATAGTGTTAACAATTTGTCTAGTAGGAGGATGAAAAGGAGAGGCCTAAAATTAAAAGCCTTATAATGAAAAACAAGGTATGATCCCTATAACCCTATTTATATGATACAATTGCTTAGTCCCAAAGCAACTCTAAAACATTTATGTATATGCCTGAAACTTGGCTCGACTATCGTTTTAGGTTTCTGGAATATTCCGATTAATTATATGATAATTAATTAACATTTAAACACTTTGAATTAATTAATTCCAAAATATTATCGAATTAACTTTTCAAGCCATGAGTGATTAATAAACTTATTTTTTCCTAATTTTTTTTCAAATTGGTCATGAGGGCCACCCAAAATCACCCTTCTATTATTATAAATATTATGAATACTAATGGCTTTGGACACTCTTTCAAACACTAGTGTCAGTGGACGATACATGACTTTCTTTTCTTCTGTTCTCAACCAAGAAACCATTATATGACTACATGGATTATATGTGGGTCATGGATATCGATTAATGTGGGTATCGGTCATCATTATAGTGTTATAATTAAGCCGAGACACAACTTGTTTTTCTTATGTTCTCAGCCAGGGGACTCATGGTATGTGTATGGAGATGTAGGTAGGTCGTAGATACAGGCCATTAGAGGAATTGGTCATCACTTTAGGATCGGTTAGATATGGCTTTCTTTTCTTATGTTCTCAACCTGGGGACCATGGTATGAGTGTCGGTTGTGTGTGGTCATGTATGTGGATCCAATGGGGTATCATTGACCATCCTCGTGTTGTTATGGGACGAGAGATGACTTGGTTTTCTTATATATTCAACACTAGACCATAGTATGATTGTTCAACTATGAATGTGTAATTAATTTTGGTGACATTATATCGTTCATGGATTTGGCTTGCATTCTCTGGTCTCCTGGATCCAACAATAACATAATGTTATTAATTTATCGACTCTCTTAAATGACCAAAAAATGGAAAACACATTAGTGTTTGATTGAAGTTAACGGATAGGGTTTGTTTAAAGCTAATATAGTGAAATACAAGATCATATATTATCTTTTTGATGGGATATATATTGAATTGGTTGTCATAGTAAAATTCTTCATATTTCCACAAGATGAAAAATGGAAAATGCTAAAGACACTTCAACTGTTAGGAGGCAAAGATATTCAACACACATTTGGCGTCTATAAGTCACGTTTACATGTACTTTCACACAGAGCACAATCAATGATTCCCAAATAAACAAGAAAAATTATGTACAATGCATCATATCATACAACATGATATAAGAACACCAAGGTGTTCGTACTATAACTACAATCAAACACATTACTTAATTTTCAAAATACACCTCTGTCTAAAATTTAATTACTTCCGATTAGGAATTAATTTTATTTTCATGTTTTTTTAATTAAAACCTTTATAACTTTTCATTGACGCCATCTTATGATAATTAAGATTTTGTATACTTAGACTTACGTATATGTAACAATATCTACTTGACAAATATTGAAAAAAAAAAAGAGTATCTTGGTAGTCTAGTAGATAAGGCTTAACGAAATGCAGGTGTTAAGTTCGGTTGCTAAGCTCGCTAACACAAGGGGAACATCGCCCCCTAGTGCTCGCTACGCTCCAACCTTAAGTTTTGGTGAGATGAGAGAGAAAGGAAAGGGAGAAGATGATTAGTCCAAACATTTGGTTTCTTCTTTAATAGCTTGAACTCTTTCTTTAACCTCGAGTTTTTTCTTCTCTATTTCTTCCTCTTTCACCTTAAAATTTAGACATCTCTTCATCTTCTTTAGATATTAACCCAATGAAACTCAACCCCGCCTCCCCCCCCCCCCTCCTCCTTTTTAATTTTTCGAATTCTTGTTTCGACAATAACCCACTAAAACTCGTTCTTCTTCTTCAAGAAGAAGAAGCAAAACACCCTCCTTCTTCCTTTGATTTCTCTCTTAATTTCTCTAGTTTTTTCTTGTTTTTGCTTTTCCCCCATTTAATTTTTCGATTTCTTGTTGTTTCTCCTCTTTTTTCTCCAATGGTTTGAGAAATTGCAGGCATTGATGCTTAAAGTTACGAAGTTCGTTGCTACACAACCGAAAGAGAGAAAAAAAAACGCAAATTTTGCTAGCCTATATCATATGCATATTGTTTGTGCAAATTATGTATATTGTATAGGTTTTACAAGTTAAAATTACCGACTTGCCCATGAATCTCCAACAGAAAGATTTTGATACTTCATATTCGTGAAATTTTATTTTATTTATGATATTTGGGAAATGAGGGCCTCATTTGAAATTCTAAGGTTTCAGTGTTATTTTTTAAATTTGAAAAAAAAAATAAAAATAAAAGGCTACCGGTGTTACCAGTAGGGATGAGATTAAGAACCAGAAAACCGGAATCGGAACCGGAACCGTTAGAACCGTATTACAGAGAACCAGTTTCGGTTCCGTGTTTAAAAATTGGCTTTATCCGGGTTCCGGGTAATCTGGGTTTGGTCCATCGGGTTCTGGTAAACCGGGTCTAAAAAATGAAACTGGTGTTTGCAACCGGAACCACTTTTAGGGCCGGAACATGTTTTGTAAAACGTTTAAAAGATGCATATCTCATTCGTTTCAACTCCGATTGACATGCGGTTATTTCCAACATTTAGTTTAGAGTTTGTACATGATTTTAGACTATAAATTTTCCATTTTTAGTTTTATATTCATTGACTAAGGTGTTGTTTGTTTTTTCTGAGGTAAAATGTCTGCAGTCTGCGGACCACATCTGTAGACATCTGCAATAGAAGAGGTGGATCAAACATCTGCAGTCTGGAAAAAGAAGACCGTTTGTTCTTTTAACATCTGCGGACTACCAAAATAAACTGAAATTTAAATAAGCTGGTTTTTTTTAAACTTCAAAGTGATTTTTTAATATTTTTATGACTTTGTTATTAATAGTTAACGAATCTTGAACAACTTTTATGTATTATTATATAAAAAATAAATATAAAAATGGTATGAATTAACGTATATATTTGATAAAAAAAAAACACCAACTTTGGTTGCAACGTTATAACTAAACATTATAATTAGTGATCAAAGAATTTGATACATAAATGAATGGAAATAAACTTCGATTTTTTCAGTGAAATCCATTAAAAACGTACCATAAATATTTTCTCGAGAAATTGACGATACTGTATTAAATAATGTTTTATAAAATTTGGTAAAAAATATAAGAATATATTATGATTTTTTCTCATATTTATATAAACAACATCAAACGACTATTATTGTAATAAAATTTTATTTATAAATTTGTTAAAAAGATCATGTTTGTAACGTCGAACGTTTTTTTAAGTTTTGTATTTTTTTTTTCAAATTGTTTATCATTAATAAAGCTAAAAAAATTATATATTTAAAAAAAAAAAAAAAAAAAAAAAAAAAAAAAAAAAACTTAAAAAGAATAAAGATATATATGTTTTTTTAGACTAGAAGATGTCTGAAGACATTAAAAGACTCTGATCCATATCTACGCCAAGAAGAGGACGCGCAGACATTTTTAGGTCTGCAGTCTTCAAAAAAACAAACAGTCTGAAAAAACTAATGTCTGCGCGGCGCAGACAAAAGAGGTCACGCAGATCTGTAGATAAAAAACAAACATCACCTTACAGTCCCTCAAAGTTGAGATATCAAAACTAAAAGTTTTTAGTTTTACAGTTTTTTTGTATTTGGTGAATGTTTTAAAACATGCATATCTAATTCGTTTGAAGTCGGATTGACATATGATTTTTTTCAACTTGTATTTTAAAGTTTGTACATGAGTTTAGACTATAATTTTGTCATTTTTAGTTTAATATCCAATGATTTACAGTCCTCCCAAGTCGGGATATCAAAACTGAAAATTTTTAACTTTTCAGCTATTTTTTCGTACTTTGTATTCTGTGAAAATTTTAACACATGCATATCTCATTTGTTTAAAATCAGATTGACATACAGTTTTTTCAAAAATGTATTTTAGAGTTTGTCCATGATTTTAGAGTATATAATTTTGTTAATTTTGGTTTCATATTCAATGAGTCACAATCTCTAAAGTCGGGATATAAATATGAAATTTTCAAAGTTCAACGCACTAAATAGTAAGTAATTACAAATATATATATATATATATATATATATATATATATATATATATATATATATATATATACATATAATAAAATCGGTTTTTTCGGTTCTAAACTCACTTTATCCGGTTCCAACCTACTCACTTTGATGTTTCCGGGTTTTCCAGTTCTAGATTCAATTTACCCGATACCGTCCCCGGAACCAAACCAAAACCGGTTTCCTGTTCTATAAAATCTCATTAACCAGTTCCAGGTTTTCCGAATCCGGATCAATCCTGTCCGGATTTAGATCCACTTTGATCCCTAATTACGAGTCCCTATTAGATGCTAAGAATTAGATACTAATATTAAAAAAATGAAATTACATTCAAGAAAATGACATGGCAAGTCTAGCAAACTCCTAAGAGCCTAAATTGATTGGCACGTGAAAGGCTTTGAAGAGATAATTAACGCCAACGTTAAAAAATAAGGACGTGATTTATGGCTTTGTGTAACAGGAATTCGAAAGCTGGTAATCCCATTATCCACATCCTATAAAAGGAGTGCGTTATCACGGTAAAGCACGGATCGATTTGTTTTCCAAACAAATAATGGCACCCATAACAGCGTTAGAAAAACCTCATGCAGTATGCATACCATTTCCTGCTCAAGGCCACATTAACCCGATGCTTAAGCTAGCCAAACTCCTCTATTCCACCGGTTTTCATATAACATTTGTCAATTCCGAATACAACCAACAACGCCTGATAAAATCTCAGAGGTCTCGCAGCCTCCCATCTTTCCAATTTCAAACCATTCCCGATGGCCTCCCCCCTTCAGAAAACCTTGATGTTACACAAGATATCCCCTCTTTGTTGAAGTCCACCTCTGAAACCTGCCTAACCCCATTCAAGGATCTACTTTTGAAACTCAACAATACCGTTGGGGCACCTCCGGTGAGTTGTATAGTTTCGGATGGAATAATGAGCTTCACGCTTGAAGCATCAGAAGAATTGGGTATTCCTAATGTTCTATTTTGGACTACTAGTGCTTGTGCCTTCCTGGCTTATACACATTATATCACCCTCTTAGAAAAGGGACTCATTCCGCTAAAAAGTACCTACTCTATACTCTATTCTTTTTGTAAATCTCTTTAATTAACTACGTACACTGAAATTATCATTATATTTTTTAGTACATCACTTTATATTTTGAGGATAAACTTAAGCACGTTGTTTTATCCATTTCTCCATCATTCACATGCAGATTCAGTTGATGTAACCAACGGGTATTTAGAAACAGCGGTAGATTGCATACCGCGCATGAAAGGAATCCGCCTAAGGGACATCCCCAGCTTCATTAGAACTACAGATCCAGAAGATTTCATGATTAATTTCGTTATCCGAGAAACTAACAGAGCTAAAAAAGCATCGGCAATCATCCTCAACACCTTTCACGAGCTAGAGCAGGATGTTTTAGACGAGCTTTCTTCGATCTATCCTCCTGTTTACACCATCGGGCCATTACATATCATAGCAAAAGTTTTTGACAGCGAAGATTTGCAGTTGCTGAGTTCGAGTCTTTGGAAAGAAGAGCCTGAGTGCCTACAATGGCTCGACTCTCAAGCATTCAACTCAGTCGTTTACGTGAATTTTGGAAGCATAACTGTGATGACACCAGAACAACTAGTAGAGTTCTCATGGGGACTTGCTAATAGTAATCATAAGTTTTTATGGGTGATACGACCAGACCTTGTACGAGGAGACTCCAAAGTGTTGCAGGATGAGTTCCTGGAGGCAACAAAGGAGAGGGGGTTGCTGGCAAGTTGGTGTCCACAAGAAAAAGTTTTAAATCATCCATCGGTGGGAGGGTTTCTGACACACAGTGGGTGGAACTCAACTCTTGAGAGTATATCAAGTGGTGTCCCGATGTTATGTTGGCCGTTTTTTGCTGAACAACAGACAAACTGTTGGTGGTGTTGTAATCGATGGGGCATAGGATTGGAGATCGACAGTGACGTCGACAGAAAAGAAGTTGAAAAACTTGTGAATGTCCTAATGGTTGAAGAGAAAGGTAGAGAGATGAAAAGAATGGCGATGGGTTGGAAGGAAAAGGCGGATTCTGTGGCATCTCGCCGGACCTTGGAGAACTTGATCAACCAAGTGCTTCTTCCTGGCGTCCGCCAATTCATATAGTTGAAACCGTTATCTAAAACCATGCCATGTGTTGCTCCATTTCATATTGTTATTTCCCTTTATATCACTTGTTACTAAACTTAAAAAAATGTTATCACAAGAGAACCAAAGTGTTCAGTGTTTCTGATGGAGTCTTCCATCGTATATACTTATGCTGCTTGTATTTGTTACCAGCCCTCTATTGTGTCATTGAAACTTTGGTGTTTTAATTAATTGTGCCTTTTTTTGTTACAAATTATAATGCTAGTTTGCCATGGATTATCGTATACTAACAGTTTTCCACCATTAATTTCGTCTCTAGAGAAAATTGTCACCTTTGCATCGCTACTATCTGTTACATGATTGGAGATCATACAAATCCATATTAATAAAAGAACCCAGAGAGAACTTTAATATAATATAATACAAAGATAAAGATAAAGCTAATATTATAATCCGTAATACAATGAAACATTAACATGAACTTGTACCACTAGTACACTAGAGGTTATTGGTTCATGATTCGTATTTGTAAATTTTAGTTTATAAGAATTGCATAAATCATATTTGGAATAGTACAATTTTTTCTCCGGAGTTGGATTTCTTTTCCAATCGTTTGTAAATTGGCGAAATTTTCTCTAGTATAATTTTTTGCGATTCTTACAAACTACTAAAAAAAAAAAAAAAAAAAAAAAAAAAAAAAAAAAAAAAACTTTATCTCGTACATTGCATGTTATTAAAGGATATACACTGCACAAATATGTCATTGAAGCCAAAATCAGAATTAAAAGATGACATGCGTTTGTAATAACTTCGTAAATTTAGGTTACTATAGTATATATTTACCATGCTCATTTTACAATTTAGTAATATTTTTTACATTTTCTAATTTTGTTTTAGAACAACAAATCTACTCTAATTTTATAAAGTACTCGTAATTCCACGTATGTCTCCAATGAGAGTTGAACTCTCTACTCTAGGAAGGATGACAACAACCGGTACTACTGGGCTAGAATCCTTTTTAAATTTAGTATGTCATGATTTCGTTGTTATTCAATTATATATATATATATATATATATATATATATATATATATATATATATATATATATATATATATATATATATAAAAGATCGGTTGAGAACTCATAGTTTTCCGAAAACCTAAGAACTAAATATGAAACGTTAGATCAAAATTAACTCATTAAGGGCATGATCGTAATCTTACCAATCTCATTTAAAATTTATTTTTTTTGTGTTATTGGATAAAATTAACATAATAAAGTAAATTTCGGATTTGAATATATTTTTTTAAATGGAGTTTTTTTAATTTTTTTTTCAGAAAATATTAATTTTTAATTTTTTTTTTTCAGAAAACATGAATTTTCACTTGTAAATTACATATGATTCATATGTAAATTAAATGTGATTTATATGTGAATCACATGTAATTAATATTTTATATGTGATTCGCTTGTGAATTACATGTGATTCATATGCAAATTACATGTTATTTATATGTGAATAAAATGTGATTTATATGTAAATCACACGTAATTCATTTGTGATTCACTTGTGAATTACATGTGATTTATATGTGAATCACATGTGATTTATATGTGAATCATATGTGATTTATATGTGAATCACATGTGATTCGCTTGTGAATTATATGTGATTTATATGTAAATAACATTTGATTTATATATAAATCACATATAATTAATATGTGATTCATATGTGAATCACATGTGATTTTTATCAATCAGACATGTAATGTAACTAGCTGTCCATGTTACAGTAAATGAATTACATGTGATTCAAGAACAATAATTAATCAATAAAAAATGAATGATTTTTAGTAACTTTTTTTAATTCTTTTTTAAGAAATGAGATTTTTTTAGTCAACTTGAAAATTACCTGTGTTTTGGCTTTGAATCATAAATAACTAAAAGTGAAAGTGTAACGATGTAAATTTCCAAAACAATTTTTTGCATTTTATAAAAACATAATTCATTAATTTTTCATAAAAATATCATTGTTTGAAACTCAATTCATAACATATGTCAATCCAAAGATCTCATAGCCTAAGAATCCCGTGTGTGTACTGATCAAGTCGGCGCCTTCCCGCGATCCTCACTAGCACCTGAAACACATAACACAAAACGTTGTAAGCACAAAGCTTAGTGAGTTCCCCAAAATACCACATATAACACGTATTAGCCACTCGAGGCTATAACTCTGTGGGTCCGTGCACCCAAACTCTGTGAACCCTCAGGTTCTAACTCTACAAGCATGCACAACATAAATCACATAGAAGAATGCAATGCAACAAACAATATATATAACACTGTATCAAATAATTCTATATACCTACTCAAGGTAAAGTATAGTGAGAAGACTCACCTCAGATGTCCCAGTAAATTATGGCTCGGTAACTCTGGCCTAGCCTCTGCCTATTCACATGAAATAAATACCCTAATTAATACAACCCTCATGGCTAGGCTAACCTCCTCCTCTCAATACATCCACTAGGAAGGGTAAAAGACTATCCTACCCTTCCGATGAATGTAAGCTCCAAACATTGAATAACCCTAAAAGTCAACGAAGTCAACTGTCAACCTTGACCAAACTCGTCGAGTGTGCAACTGTGACTCGGCGAGTCCACACAGACTCTTCACTCTCCTAGTGCTCATTCGACTCACTGAGTCAACCTCAACTCTGCAAATCAGTACTGATCAAAATCTGTGAAATGTCCTGACCCGACTCGCCGAGTCCGGCTCCTGACTCGGCGAGTACCATCGTGCACTCTGTCCTCTAGATTCCCTCTGACTCACTGAGTCACTTCCGAAACTCACTGAGTTACCAACTATATGATTATCGGGAAAACCCTTATCCTACTCACCGAGTCGGCTAATGGACTCGGCGAGTCCATGCCATGCTCAAGCTGAATTGACCTCTTGAGGTCAGATCCGCTTCTCTAAACCATAGATCCAGCTTCCCAAGGCATTATAAACACGTAAAGATAACATCTTGATGCACATGTAAAGGCTCAAAGGTGTTATTTGAAGATATGGCCTCTAAGGTGACACCCTAAGTTCATAACCTCCATTAATGCTCATAAAGCTCAAGGGGAAAGGGTCTCTAGACCTCTTTGGGTCCACATCTACAACACCAACACGAGAAGGGACCAATCACTCCATGTAATCATCCTCTAATGGGGCTAAAAAGCCCTAACTCTAATAATCACATCATTAAATGAAGAACAGTTCAAATGGATACCTCAAAATGAAGTCTCTGAGCTCTGGAATCACTTGCTTATCACCCTCTTCAGCCTCCTCTTGTCTTGATCCTCTTCTATTTGCAAAAACACCAACAAAGATCAAGAAATGGCTCTTTTCCTTCTCACAAACTCTCTAGCACACTTAGGGTTTCCCTCTGGGGTCTGATAGCCACAAATGACGGTTATAAGGCCCTTTAAAAAGGCCCCAAACCCGAGGAATTAGGGTTTCATTAAACAGCGTGGACTCGCCGAGTCCTCGGGGCGACTCGCCGAGTCCAGTTGTTCACCCGGATAATAATTCGTGTCTCTACACAGCGAGTCTACACATCAACTCGCCGAGTCCTTCCATAAAACTTGAATTTTAAAAGAATAAATGTAATACTTGAAATTTCGGATGTTACAATTCTCCCCCACTTGAATCAGACTTCGTCCTCGAAGTCTCATCCCTAAAATAACTTCGGATGCTTCTCACGCATCTCCCGTTCTGGCTCCCAAGTCAACTCGGAACCTTTCCAATGTTGCCATTGAACATGCACCAGAGGCACCTACTTGTTCCTCAGAACCTTGATCTTCCGATCTATAATCGCAACTGCTCTCTCCACGTAGTTCAGGCTCACGTCCACCTGAATGTCCTCTAACGGCACTACCACCGAATCATCGGCTAAACACTTCCTCAGCTAAGACACATGGAAGGCATTATGAATCTTCTCCAACTCTGCAGGTAGCTCCAAGCGATACGCTACTCTGCCCACTCTCGCAATCACTCTAAATGGCCCAATATATCGGGGCCCTAGCTTTCCCCTCTTCCTGAATCGGATCACTCCTTTCCAAGGAGATACCTTCAGAAGAACATAATCACCGATCTGGAACTCAAGCTCGGATCATCGCCTATCCGCATAACTCTTCTGGTGACTCTGAGCGGTCAACAACCTCTGCCTGACTTGTTGTATCTGCTCTGTCGTATTTAGCATGACCTCCGTGCTACCCATCACTCGTTGCCCTACCTCTCCCCAACAAATGGGAGTCTGACACCTCCTCCCATACAACAACTCAAAGGGTGGCATGCCAATGCTCGAATGATGGCTGTTGATGTAGGAGAACTCCGCTAAGGGCAAATACGTGTCCCAACTTCCACCAAAATCCAATACACATGCTCGGAGCATGTCCTCGAGCGTCTGAAACGTCCGCTCGCTCTGTCCGTCAGTCTGTGGGTGGTATGTGGTACTAAAATGCAGCCTCATACCCAACTCTTCATGAAATTTCTTCCAAAATTTGGAAGTGAAACGCACATCTTGATCTGACACAATCGAGATCGGTACCCCATGCCGTGATACCACCCCTCTCACATATATCTCTGCCAACTTCTCCATAGAAGAACTCTCACTAATGGCAAGAAAGTGAGCGCTCTTTGTTAAACGGTCTACTATCACCCAAATTGCATCGACACCCCTCGCTATTCTCGGCAATTTGGTGATAAAATCCATGGATAACTGTTCCCATTTCCACTTTGGGACTTCCAGTGGCTGCAACTTCACATGCGGTCTCTGATGTTCGGCCTTAACCTTACAACAAGTTAGGCACCTCTCAACAAACCATGCTACATCTCTCTTCATACAAGGCCACGAATACTCCCTTTTAAGATCTAGAAACATCTTAGTGGCTCCGGTATGGATCGAGAATCTCGATTTATGTGCCTCCTCCATCGAGATGGTACGCGTTCCTCTAACAAACGGTACCCAAATCCAACCCTAGAAGGTCATAAGCCCCTGCTATCAGTCACGAACTCCGTAACTTGCCCGATAACTCGCTCTCTCTTGAGGTTCTCCAGTCTCACTGCCTCAGCCTGAGCCCCTCAGATGGTGTCCAACACCGGAGTCATCACTGTCAATCTCATACAAATATCCCGAATCGGGGCGTTCTCTGCTCTACGACTCAGGGCGTCGGCCACCACATTAGCCTTGCCCAGGTG